AAAGAATAAAACCATTGCAACACAGATCCTCTCAACATTAGTACAGTAGGACCCCCTTATCCATGGGATCAGAATCCACTGAATCACTTACAGTGGTGCCTCGACTTACGAACGTCTCTACTTATGACCATTTCGAGTTACGACCAGCTCCAGCTGTAAAATGTTGCTTCAACTTGCAACTGGAGCTTCCACTTATGAACAGAAAAAGGCAGGGGGAAAAGGCAGGTAATTCAAATTTCTAACTGTAGGTGGCAACGAGGTTGCTTCTTTGTAGTTCTTTCACCCCAGAAGTTAGAGATTGTGCGATCGGATAAGGCTGCCTGGTAAGATAAGGTGCTTATGTTGTATACATTTTTGTTTGAAGCCGCCCAGAGTGGTCGACCAGACCAGATGGGCGGGATATAAATCAAATGAATGAATGAATGAATGAATGAATGAATGAATGAATGAATGGATGGATGGATGGATGGATGGATGAATGAATGAATGTTTTCTGCTTTTAAAAAACTGTTCTGGGTAGTTTTGCAGTGTGGTTTTGGGATGGGGGTTATGTTTCTGTGCTGTGATGGGTCTTGGGGTGTTGGTTGGTTAGTTGGTTCCCCCCCCCATTTCCAATAGGTCTTGGGGGATTTGCTTGCTTTTTAGAGTGTTTTTCCCATTTCTGATGGGTCTTGGGGGGGTTGGTTTGGTTTTTGGTTTTCCCCCCATTTCTGATAGATCTTGGGGGGTTTGATTACTTTTTGGGATTCCCCCATTTCCAATGGGTCTTGGGGGGTTGTTTGTTTTTTGGCTTCCCTCCATTCCCGATGGATGTTGGGGTGTTTGGTTGCTTTTTAGGGTCCCCCCCCATTTCTGATGGTCTTGCATGCTTCCCTTGCTTTTTCCTTTGTTCTCTTTGCATTTCCGACCTGGCCCCTTTGTTCTCTGTGCATTTCCAATCTGCTCCATTTGTTTTCTGTGCATTTCCGATGGGTCTTGCATGCTTGATTGCTTTTCTTCCCCCCCTCTTTGGCCAGAAGGGATTAATCTCATTTCCAATGAGTCTTGCAGTGATTTTATTTTATTTTATTTTATTTTGGTGATTTTTTTTCCTTCGGACGGAACAGATTAACTGCATTTTAATGCATTCCTATGGGAAATGGTGCTTTGACTTACGGCCATTTTGAGTTACGTCCATCTTCTGGAATGGACTACGGTTGTAAGTCAAGGCACCACTGTATCTACAGTTTGAAAATATTAAAAATACTAAAAGCAAAAATCCAGAAAAATCTATTTTCACATGTATTGCCAGCACTGGCCAACAGCGGGAGCCAGATACTATACTGTGAATACTTGTTAGTAAAGAATACATATTAATAAAGACTACTCAAAAGGACTGTGTGGACCACAGCAAACTATGGCAAGTTCTTAAAGAAATGGGAGTGCCTGACCACCTTATCTATCTCCTGTGAAATCTATATGTGGGGCATGAAGCAACAGTTAGAACTGGATATGGAACAACTGATTGGTTCAAAATTGGGAAAGGAGTACAACAAGGCTGCATATTGTCTCCCTGCTTATTTAACTTATATGCAGAATACATCATGCAAAAGACTGGACTGGAGGAAAGCAAAGCCAGAATCAAGATTGCTGGAAGAAATATCAACAACCTCAGATATGCAGATGATACCACTCTGATGGCAGAAAGTGAGGAGGAATTAAAGAACCTCTTGATGAGGGTGAAAGAGGAGAGTGCAAAAAAAAAAATGGTCTGCAGCTCAACATTAAAAAAACCCTAAGATCATGGCCACTGGTCCCATCACCTCCTGGCAAATAGAAGGGGATGATATGGAGGCAGTGACAGATTTTACTT